TCTGGAAAAGAGAAGACCGAGAGGGGACATGATAGTAGTTTTCAGGTATCTAAAAGGGTGTCATAAGGAGGAGGGAGAGAACTTGTTCACCTTAGCCCCTAAGGATAGAACCAGAAGCAATGGGTTTAAACTGCAGCAAGCGAGGTTTAGGTTGGACATTAGGAAAAAGTTCCTAACTGTCAGGGTGGTTAAACACTGGAATAAATTGCCTAGGGAGGTTGTGGAATCTTCATCTCTGGAGATATTTAAGAGTAGGTTAGATAAATGTCTATCCGGGGTGGTATAGACAGTATTTGGTTCTGCCATGAGGGCAGGGGTTTGGACTCGATGACCTTTCAAGGTCCTTTCCAGTCCTAGAGTCTATGAATCTATTAACCTGATTGATTTTAGTGTCCTAAAGATAAAGGGTCTGGTTTGTACTGACACTAAAGGCAATCGGTTGGTAGATTATTCTCAAGCCTCCCCAGGAAAGGGGGTAAAGGGTCTTGGGGGGATATTTGGGGGGATTAGGGCTCCAAGTGACGCCTCCCTGAATTTTTGTGTGAATCACTTGGTGGTGGCAGCAATACCGTCCAAGGGCAAGGAGGGATTTGTGCCTTGGGGAAGTTTTTAACCTAAGCTGGTGGAAATAAGCTTAGGGGGTCTTTCATGCGAGTCCCCACATCTGTACCCCAGAGTTCAGAGTGGGGAGGGAACCCTGACGGGGGCTTGGCAACACAGCTTTGTGCTGGGGTGTGGGGTCACACCCCTGACCCCCAGAGCTCTGTGCTGGGGGGGTGGGGGTGTCACCCCTAACCGACAGAGCTCTGCGGGGATAAGCATTAAGTGTAGACCAGGCCACAGGCAGGTTTCAGGGGGACCATATATGGGAGACTGGGACGTGGGGCCATTACTCTCCAGGGGGCTCCAGCTCTGATGCAGCCCCAGGGCAGGGGAGGGGCTGGCTGAGGGAGGTGGGCAATGGGACACGGGGCCTTTACCCTCCTGCAGTGCCAGCTCCGCTCTGATGTTAGTGACCAGAATCCCTCCCCACGGGGTCTGCTCTGTGCCTTTAGTATGTAGCGTTGGTCCGTGTCCCCTGGCCAAATCTGGCCTCCCCCAATGGCACCACCTCCCCTGCTCCGTCTAACGCGCTGGATGTTCACACTGCACCCGTCAGGATGGGATGGGAGTGGGAGGATGGGACGGTGGGAATTGTCTGTAATACCGTGTGTGCCTCAGTTTCCCCTATATGCTGCATTGTTCGCTAGGTGGGGGGGAAATGGCTGTTTACTCTTGGCAGAGGCCCAGCAGCCCAGAGCGTGTCGACTTCCTGCCTCTCAGCCAGGGAGCTGCGCCCGATTCCCCTGGCCATGAACACGGACTGAGGGGGGCCAGGTGGGGGGTGAGCTCACCCCGGAACTAGAGACAAAGGGGGGACGGGACAAAGGGGCCCAGAGCGGGAGCCAAGGGGTCCACATGGCTTTGCTGGGGCTGGCAGACCCCCAAAGGAACTCTGCTGTACCCCATTTCTGAAGGCAGAGTGGGATCCGGGGGGCGGGGGGGCTGACACTCCAAATGGGTTCTCCCAGACCCAGGGCCAAGGCTGGGCCAAGGCACCAAACCGGGGGAGCCGGGACAGGGCCGTTTGTGGGGTTGGGCCTCAGAACTCCTGCCAGCCCCGAACC